TTTCTGTCCATTTCATATAACCATGATTAGTAAGTCGATTCTTCACAGGTTGTTCGTAACTAGAGCTAAGTCAATTTACTGTTTTACCCCTAAAGTTACTTTTTGTTCCTTAAGTCCCACTGATCCTCTAATGAACAATTGGTTTGTGGTCCAACCACCAAACCGAATCCCTCTCAGGCCAATGAGTGGGTGGGGCCCCTTGTTCAAGACTTGGAGTCAATACTTAAGAGAACAACCTCTTTACTCTCCCTAAAAGTGGGTAGAAGTGAATTCCATCTTACACCCTATGTACCCAGCTATTCACCCAGTTTTACCCCTGAAATGAGAGGCTATTGAGTCGGCGAACTCATGTCACTCTCACCCATGCAAATCTAAGGATAATTCCGAATAAACAGGAGCTCATAGTTAGCTCAGGATTAAGATCGAGTTACCTAGGTCATCGAATGAAAAAATCAGTCTCAACAGTAAACGACATTATAAAGTGAGAGTGGTTTTCTTCATGGTCTGATCTTATGCAATACTCATTGCATAGGACGCTCCCACTCACATGTCTCCACATGTACAATTTAGTGATAACATTGTTTATATCATATACAAAAGTGGGTCGCATCCATAATGTCCCCAGAATAAGGTACTCAGCTTTATCCCTATACTACAGATCATTTTGACTATATACTTGAACTTGATCCAGTCTTATGTCTCTACATATAGTTCAAGTAATCATACTATAGCTAGAGTGTTCTTAGTTTATTGGATTTAGATTAATGATCGTAACATTCGCTTTATTCAATAACAATCTTTATTGAATAAACATCAATAATAACTTTATTGAAAACAGAATATGTTTTTGTTTACAAATTATGAGTTTTAGGACATAAAACCCAACATCTATGACATTTACTCCAGAGTTCGCTCCCGCCTTGACCAGCTCCTTATTTACCTGAAAAGTGTGGAAAACATGAAGTGAGTACAAAGACTCACTAAGTAGCCTACTTGTAGGCTCTTAATCGTATCCTTGATATGCTAGGGTACCACACTCTTTCTTTTCTTCTTCTAGTTTTTGTTGTAAGTACTTAGGCCCTTTGGTTATGTTTTTGACTTGTGAGTTCTTAACGTGATCTATCCTGAGAACCTTGGATTCTAAGGTCTCAAACCTTAGTACTATTGTTTTGGTTTCTTGTCTTCAGAACTTGGATCTTGATCCTTGTCCTAGTCTTTGATCGTTGTCTTATTCTTAGTTACTTTCTATGTTCTTGTTCTTATTCTTGGTTCATTCTCCAAGACACTCCCCCTAGGATTTACGGTACTAGTCATGAACCTGACAACCTGTGTCCAAGGCTTCATATGTTCCAAGCGACACAGTCTGAACCAACGTCCAAGGCTTCATGCATTCCAAGCAATGTAGTTTGAACTCGCATCTAGGGCATGCCCTGCGATACAGTCTAAAAATCTATGCCCAAGACTTCATGCGTTCTAAGTGGCATAGTTTGAAAACCTACATCCAAGACTTCTTACATTCCAAGTGATGTATTCTGATCCTGCATCCAGGGTTTGCCTTATGATACAACTTGAATACCTACTGCCCAAGGCTTCATATGTTCCAAACGACATAATCTGAATATCTACGCTTAAGGCTTTGTACGTTTCAAGTAGCGTAGTCTAAAAACCTGCATTTAGGGCTTGCTCAGTGATACAGCCTGAATACCTATGTCCAAGACTTCATATGTTCCAAGCGACATAATCTGAATTCCTACGCTCAAGGCTTTGTACGTTTCAAACAATGTAGTCTGAAAACTTGCATCCATGGCTTGCCCTATGATACAACATGAATACCTATACCCAAGGCTTCATACGTTGCAAGCAACATAGTCTGAATACCTACGCTCAAGGCTTCATACGTTCCAAGCAGCATAGTCTAAGTCATAAACATGTCGTACCGTGGGAGGTTTTAGGAGTTTCTTGAGTTTCTGAGTTTAAGGACATTAGTCCCTTATTCTTGAGTGGTACCTAGCATCCTTCTTATCTTGGTAGTTGTAGAGCTTGTGCAGTATTTCCCTTGGTTATCAATTTTCAACCTTATATAATTTATAAGGTTCGAAATTTCTGGAAGCATAAGTCGTATTATGCATTCTTAAGCTCTACATAACTTAATAGCATACATGAGTCATTTAGAATGATATGAAATCATAATGACTTTTTTAGATAATTCTAGAAGAGTCTTGAGTTTTGGGAAGAATTACTTGAGGTAATCCCTTTAAATGTTTCCTAGGCCCTAACTTGGTTTAGGTTTCAAACTTGCTCTAATCAATTTAGAATCTTGAACATACCTTTATATCCTTATGGATAGGCCTTGTAAGAAGTAATAAGTCATGTGGAGGGTGTTTAGACCTTGAAATACCTTAAAAGGTCTTAGGGGCATTTTGGTCATTTTACCCCCCTAAGTCTTGGTTTAGCCTCTAAACATGTTCCAATAGCTTTCAAACTTTAACATGTCATCAATCATCATAGTAGGGTGTATTACAAAGTTTTATAGTATTTTGAGATGATTTAGATCATGAACCGAAGGAAAGTTACCTTAGGGGCATTATGGTTATTTTACATCATTACTTCGTTTAGCTACTTAGCTTTGTCCAATGCCCACCAAATTTTATATATAACCTTAACATGCCATAATATGCTTAGCATTAAAATTTCATGAGCAGCAGAGTTCATTTAGTAGGTCATTTTAACGTTACTTAAGTCCCGAGTAATTAAATCGATTCAGGGCCTTAACTCACGGTTTTTTTTTTTTTTTTTTTTCTATTCCCTTAATTCATACTTGACGTAAGGTATATATTGAAATCCAAGCGATTCCTATAAGTATTTATTAAGAAAAATCCAAGATGACTATTTACCTCGTCGTTGATGCGAGACCTTCGGTATCCGAATTACTTCATTTTCTTTCACAGATTCTTTAGAGTGTCTAGTTTCTGGAACCATAAAGTTTTTTATGAGAACTGGTCTGGAAGAGGGTTAAAATTGAGAAAAATTAAGGTAGGGTCGAGTTTTGGGTTAACATGGTCAGTTTAACTGAACTGGCCATGTCATCGTCTTCTTCCTTTGGAAGGAAGAAGACGCTCGTGACCTACATCACCACTGCTTGAAAACACTTCTCCATAGCTCTATTCACAATGTTTCTTTCCTTAATTTCATCATGAAACTTAATAGTGTTGCAAGGAGAAACTAGTGATTGATTTCATACCTTCTCGTGGATTGTAGACTAAGTTATTCTTGTAACACCCCTAATTTTCTTACTCTAAATTAGTGACGTCACTACATACATGCTTTGAAGACATATGCAAAAATTCATTTTAAATACTCTTAAAATATAGCTATAGACTTACCTATTCAATTCAAAATAAGAAAAAAAAAATATATACATATAGATAACATAATTTTTTAACCTAAAACAAAACACATGTTCAAATTAAAAAAAATATATTTAATTTAAAGAAATTAATATTTAATATATTAGAAATGTTAAATATAAATAAAGAAAAATATATATTAATTTAAAGAATTCAAATTAATATTTAAATATTATATATATTAAAAATAAAAAATATATTTATTACATTTGATAAAATTAAATATGAAAAAAATTAATTTATATTGATAAATTACATTAAAAATATATATCTAAAATTTGAATGAGATTCAAATTTGTTAATATATTGGGCAGATATCTTATAATATATAAATATAATTTAAATAATATATTATATCTTAAAACTCTATTTATGATAAAAAAGAATTAAAATTTAGTTCTAAACTTATAAAATATTAATTAATTGGAGTAGTTAGTATGTATATTAATTTGTTGTATAATATTTATTCACTCAATACTATTCTTCAATGTACCTGTTTTTTTTAAAAGAAAAATAAGAGTAATGATTAAATTAATGTTGAAAGATCAAAATAGAATTTATTTAAAAGAGTTTGAACATTACAACTACACTACCAAAAATAAAAACATTAAAACATGAAATTAAGTTCAAAAACTAAAATTAGAATATTAAAAATTTATAAACCAAAATCGAATAAATCCAAATCTTTTAATTTGAGTTAATTAAAAGTATATCATAAAATAATTTTGCAATGATTAAATTACTCTCTTGCATTTAAATTTTAATTTTATGATATAAAAATGACATTGAACGGTAAAATTAAATATTTTGATTGATCAAACAAATATTTTAGAATATCTTATAAAAATAATTTTAATAATTAATAATTTTGGAGATTTTAGCTTCGATTTTGTAACTGGCATATCTTTAATTTTAAATTTAATCATCGAACTGTAAATTAAACCAATTTAAAAAGAAATAAATAAGGGGCAATAAGAACGCACGCCTCCCACGACGACAGAACATTCTTACAATTAAAAATTAAAAACAAAACTTGTAATAATACTAATTATTAATATTATAATAATAATAATCCCAGAAAATACAAAAAAAAAAAAAAAGAAAAAAAAAAAAAAAAAAAAA